GGCTCTTGCCTTCCTGCGCCTCCCGCCAAGCCGAGAACTGTCAGCACGCAGTTTCGCTGAACAGGAAACGGAGTCCCAGGGACTGTGTCCGTCTCCCCGAGGCCGCCCAGGGAAAGGTGGGCGGGTTGGGGCTTGGCGGGCTCTCCCCAAAGTGCGCTGGAGAAGTGAGTCTGGTCCTTCCGAATGCCTGTGACCACTACGTCTTTTCTGCGGTGACACCGTGCGGCTTGATTACCTGGGCACTGGGGGGCGCAGCAGGATCCAGGGGCTGAGAAAGAAGCCCAGTGTCTCTGGGGCTGAGGCTGGTGGGGAGGGGAGTGAGGCCTGGGGCAGGGACCCAGAAGGGGGAATGGCTCCGGGTTGGGAGATGTCATATATAAAGGACACTTGACAGTGACAAGGGACAGGATTTAGAGACCGATGGATGGACTGGGGCTTATGATTCCTGGCATGGGCTGCCAAAGAGAGGAAGTCAGATGGGAGGACAAGTGGGCAGGATCGCGTCCCCCCCGACCCTGAATACTGTGGGGGCATCTCTGAGCTGTGGCCCAACTTCAGTTCTAGGCACTTTTCTTGCCTTCTCCCATTTCACTGTTACCCTGATCCTGGGACATGGGAACTGGCCTGTGTCCATTTTACAGGTAAGCACACTGAGGCCCAGGGAGGTTGGGGTGCTTACCCAGCCAGGAAGGGACAGTGCTGGGTTTGAATTTGGGCTGCTGCCTCCGACTGCCTCAGTATTAATCCCCGAATGTTACATAACACAATGAATGGGGAGGGGTTAGCAGGGCTTCATGCGGCTGGAATCAGACCTAGGAATTTTCCAGAGACCAGATTTTGGAATCTGGCCCAGCCATGCCACCAGGGACAGGAAACACCTTCTGAGTTGTCACATGGTCGCATGGCACTTCAAATGGGGGCCCCAGAGCATTTGAGGGAGCAAGACTCAGGGACCTTTGTGGGGGCGGCTTCAGCACCTGGGCCAAAGGGTTTCAGGACAGTGAAGGGGGGTCAGCTGGCTGTGACCTGGGAGCCGAGGGCCCTGCTAATGAGAACCAGGTGCAGTGTGACCGAAGATGGGCAGCTGGGGCGGGGAGAGGGGGGGCCTTGGGTCTGAGCAGTCATGTCACTGTCACCCTGGAATCCATGAGGGCAGGCAGCTGGTTCCTTTTCAATAGCACACCTCCATCCATGTGCTAATTCAGTATGTTAAATAGTGTATGGAACCTGTGCTCAAGACAGACCCACCCAGGCCTCATGAAAAAACTGCCAGGACTTAACCTAGGGGAGGGTTCTGTAGTGAATGTGAGTAAGCCAGAACCCCTTCCTGGCAGTGGCTTGTCCTGGAGGTAGATGCTATTCTTAGCTTCATGTTACAGAGGAAGAAACTGAGGCTTGCATGGAAGGCACATGCAGGCCAGAGGCACTGGGTTGTGGCCAAACCCTGCCAGAAGTGTAGGTCAGTGGGTCCAGAGCCCCTGCCCCCCTAAACCATCCTGGGAGGGAAGGCAGAGCCCACATGCTAAATCAGGTGGCTAAGACCACTGAACCCCCAGAAGCTCCCTGGTGGTGAAAAGAATCTGAATTCCCGGGTGCGGTGCCACACAGCCTGCCTGTCAGCGGGCTCCTCTGCCCAGACACCAGTCTCCCCCACCTCTTGGCTGCTTGCCAGGTCTTCCTGGCTGAACCTTCACCATGGGGCTGGTGAGATCTCCCCTTCCCAGCCTGCACCCCCATGAGCAGGCACCTACTGCCCCTAGGATTCTAGAATGAAAAAAAGCTATATATATAAAAGCCTAAGCAACCATTTGACCAGTAGCGCTGACACACACTGGCCACCAGGGGGCAGATGCTTCGACTGGTAGGTTACCTTGCTGCTGGGGTCTGGCAGATGGGGACTGGGCAAGATGGGCTGGACATGCCCTGAAGCCCTCCTGCTGTCCCTCCCCTGCCCCGATTGTGCACCTGTGGCGTCCCCCTACTGGGCCTGTGCCCTCTCTCAATCCGGGACCCCTCGCGGGATATCGGAGAGCCACAGGCCAGGCTGAGGAACCCCACCGGTGCATGAATCCGTGCACCAGACCTCTCGTCTAGAATAAAATGAAACATAATTGTTCACAGCAGCATGATTCACAACAGCTAAACGGAGGCAACAACCCCAATGTCCAGTGGTGGATAAATGGATAAATTGTGATTCGTTCACACACTGGAATATTATTCAAGCTTATAAAGGAAGGAAACTGTGATACCTGCTACAACATAGATGAACTTTGAGGACATTATGCTCAATAAAATAAACCAGACACAGAAGGATAAATACTGTTGATTCCACTCATATGAGGTTCCTGGAGGAGTCAAACTCACAGAGACAGAAGGTAGATGGTGGGTGACAGGCTAGGGGAGAGGGAGGTGAAGAAGTTAATGTTTAATAGGGATGAAGTGTCAGTTTGAGAAGATACAAAAGTTCTGGAGATGGATGGTGGTTATAGTTACACTTAAAAATAGTTAAAATGGTAAAGTACATGTTATGTGTATTTTGCCACAATAAAAAGAGGAAAAATATATTAGATTTCCCACCCTACCCTTAAAAAAACACAACCTTGGGGGACTTACTAAAACTCCCATTTTGGAGATGGGCAAACTGAGGCGCAGTTTGGATATTGATCACTGGATCACAGTTTTGCAAAGGGGGCTGCCTGGTCTTCCATGCTGACCCCTGCCCAGGGTTCCTAAAGCTGGGTGATCATCAGCTGGAGCCTCGGCCTGGCCGCCCACACCCTGAATCCCTACACCCCAGGTCACAGCTTCACTCCCCCTCCATTCTGCTCTCTTGCCAACCTGAGATAACTCCCCAGACTCAGCAGATTTCCCTGGAGAACTGCAGGAAGCTTCGCTCAAAATACCTGCCGCAGGTGAGGGGGCAGCTGCTGAGACAGCTGCTGTCCGCAGAGGCAGCCAGACTCCCAGAGGTCCACCTTGGGAGGCTTGAGGGCTGGGCATGGGGTCAGCCTGGGCACAGTCCTCTTCTCCGAGAAGGTGCCAAGGTGGCAGAGGGGACTTGGCAATTGGATTAAGTACCCTGAGGTGGGGATGACCCTGAGATGGGGATGACTCTGGAGAAACACCAGAGAGGGTGGTATTTCTAGAAAGAGCTGACAACAATGGATGCTTGGAGGGTGGGAGAGGCAAGGATAAGGTCTAATCCTGGACCCAGTAGAAGCCAAGTTCCCCCACTCACAACGCTGGGCCAGCCTCAAGGCAGTGCCCTGCCGCAGTCATGGGGTTTCTGAAGCACAGAGGCAGGCTTCCCTCCTGCTGACTCTGCTCACGAGGCCCTGTCCCCAGAGGCTAAGCTCACGCGTGCAGACATGAGGAAGTCCAGTGCAGTTCAAAGGCCAGGAGACCAGAGACGTACCTGGAGCCAGGGTGAGTCATGTCTGCCCGGGTGTGCCCACCTTGGCACCTTCTAGGAGAAGAGGACTGTGCCCAGGCTGACCCCATGCCCAGCCCCTCAAGCCTCCCAAGGTGGACCTCTGGGAGTCTGGCTGCTGTCTCAGCAGCTGCCCCCTCACCTGCGGCAGGTATTTTGAGCGAAGCTTCCTGCAGTTCTCCAGGGAAATCTGCTGAGTCTGGGGAGTTATCTCAGGTTGGCAAGAGAGCAGAATGGAGGGGGAGTGAAGCTGTGACCTGGGGTGTAGGGATTCAGGGTGCGGGTGGCCAGGCCAGGGCTCCAGCTCACGACCACCCAGCTTTAGGAACCCTGGGCAGGAGTCAGCATGGGAGCCAGGCAGCCCCTTCGCAAAACTGTGATCCTGTGATCAGCACCCTTTGGGGGAGGAATATTATACTACTGATGGCAGAGCGTAGACTTTGTAGTGTCTTTGAAACTTTCTGTAAATCTAAAATGATTCAAAAACTAATTAAAAAATAAAACCCACAAGAATTAGGAGATCATTATAAGAAATTCAAGCAAAACCTATAAGGCAGTGACTCAAAATCAACGATAGCCCCTGCCTCAAGATCGTTGTAGCCAACCCTAGAGGTTTATCCTTCAATTTCCTGTCTGAGTTTATATCAACATGCATACTTCTTCTTTTATAAAAATGTCATCACATTGTGTATGATTTTGCTAATTTTTTCCACCTAACAGCATACCTTAAGTGACTTGCCATTTCTGAATCACTGTTCCGTGCTCCCCAGCCCCCAAGCCATGTGAGGCCCCTGCCCCACTCTGGCGTTGAAGCAGACCCCCTTGCTCCATGTGCTCCGGCCACACAGGCCTCCCCTGGGCCTGGGCCTCACCCTGCTCCTTGGCCACCTGACCTTTGCATAGGCTGTTCCTCTGCTGAGAACACCCTCTCCCTCACACCCTCTTCCATCCAGTACCCCTTCATCCTCCAGGTCCTGCCGGGAGCATCCCCACTTCAGGCAAGTTCCCCCACACTCCCAACCCAAAAGGAGCTGGGATCACTGGATCACAGTTTTGCAAAGGGGGCTGCCTGGTCTTCCATGCTGACCCCTGCCCAGGGTTCCTAAAGCTGGGTGATCATCAGCTGGAGCCTTGGATTAAGTACCCTGAGATGGGGATGACCCTGAGATGGGGATGACTCTGGAGAAACACCAGAGAGGGTGGTGTTTCTAGAAAACCAAGCAAACAGTGGTTGCTTGGAGGGTGGGAGATCACAGGATCACAGTGGGTACTTAATCCACCCATTCGGGTGTGGGTGTGAAGTCGCCCCAGGATCTCTGAGTCCCACTGGGTATGACTTTACCCCTCTGTACCTCAGTGTCCTGACCCATAAAGTAGGGGTTGGGAGGGTCACATCACATCTGAGCGCCCCCACGGCAATGGTGCCTCTCCGTAGGTGAAGGGCTCAGTCACGGGGTCAGTGCACGAGCAGTAGGACCTGTCTGGAATGAGGGTGAAGGAAAGGATGCTGCCTCTCATTAGACCTCTTAATCAGAGGTCACAGACACCCAAAGTCGCTAAAGTGAAAAAAAACAAAACTGGGTTGATAGCTTCAGGTATGGCTCGGTCCATCTCAGGAATCTGGCTCTTTCTGTTTCCTGCCTCTCATGTCCCTAGCTAGGGTGACTTTCTGGGTGGCATCCCCAGCTCACATGGTTGACCTCAGTCGTGATGGGTCCTGGGTCCTGCTCTCCCCATACTAATGCCCAAGGACATCTAAGCAGCTCCAGAGACCGTGGGTTCTAGGGCAGGGATGGCAGGAACCATTCCACCTAGTCATCTCAGGGGGCTGGAGGGTCCTGGGACCACATGGCCCGGCCTCAGGGATCACAGGTGGCACAAGGAGTTGGAGGAAGGGGAGGAGGAGGCCATCGGATCTGCTCATAGGCATTTCCTAAGCCCCAAGGCCATAAGACAACAGACCGCAGAGGGAGCCCGGGTCCAGCTGATCCACATCTGTCATGACCCACATGCCCAGAGGCAGGGGGTCTGGGCTGAAGCTCAGGATAGGGGGAATCCGGCTGAACCTGGGCCAGGGTCCGGGATGGGGAACTGAGACGCCACCGGACCTGGAGCCTCTGAACCTCACAACCACCCCCGCCACCTGCACCAGGTATTTTGAGCTAAGCTCTGGGCCTCATCCTCTGGGATCTGCTGAATCCAGCTGAGTTATAGTCAGAGGGCAGAGGTGGTAAACAGAGATGAAGGGGAGGCAAAGACTGGAGGATGGGCCCAGGACTCCACAATTTCATCCCACCTCCATCTGGTCATTCCACAAGCGCCAGGGTTCCCATGCAGGGTGCAGTGCCTGCGGTATGCACTTTCTACAGGACTCAGTGCCTGCTACATACACTTGTGGATAGAGTACAATGCCTGCTGTAGATGTGCCCTGCGGGAAGTATCTTCTGTAGCCCAGCCAGTGTGGCTCAGTGGTTGAGCATTGACTTATGAACCAAGAGGTCACGGTTCGATTCCTGGTCAGGGCATATGCCCAGGTTGTGGACTCCATCCCCAGCGTGGGGTGTGCAGAAGGCAGCCAATCAATGATTCTCTTCATCATTGATGTTTCTATCTCTCTCTCCCTTCCTCTCTGAAATCAATAAAAGCATAGTTTTAAAAAGTACCTTCTGTAAACCCTCCTTGCATGGTGCAGTGATTTCTGCATGCACTCTCTTCAGATACAATGACTCTTGTAGGCACTCCTTGGAAGATTCAATGTCTACTATATGCACGCCCTACAAGGTGCAGTACCTACTGTATAGACTCTCTGAACAGTAAAGTGTGTCTGTTGTATGATACAGTACATGCTGCATACATTCGTACAGAGCATAATGCCTACTGTATTGCTCCATGCAGGACATAGTGCCTGTTGTATGCACTTTTTGCAGGGTGCAGTGCCTGCTGTATACACCCTGCATAGCACCATAGCACTGTGGCTGAGGCTTGGGTAATGAGGCATCTCTGAGGGGGATACAATTGTCCACTTTGTGGAGTCCCTGGGCCAAGCTTCCTTCCTTCCTTCCTTCCTTCCTTCCTTCCTTCCTTCCTTCCTTCCTTCCTTCCTTTCTTTCTGTCTTTCTTTCTGTCTTCCGTTCTTTCTTTTTTATATATCTTTATTGATTTCAGAGAGGAAGGGAGAGGGAAAGATAGATAAAAACATAAGTGATGAGAGAGAATCATTGATTGGCCACTTCCTGTACGTCCCCAGGAAAGTGGTGAGAGGCAGCAGTGGTGGTTCTGGGCAGGGGCTGAGCCAGGGTGTCCCTGGGGACACTCACTCTCCCCACAACATCCACAAGGCTAGTTTCCTCACTTCCTCTAGGTCTTTACTAAAAATTTACTCTCTCCCTCATATGATCATATGCTTTTCTTTTTTAAAATTTATCTTTATTGTTGATGAATATAGTTTTATTGATTTCAGAGAGGAAGAGACAGAAACACCAATAATGAGAGGGAATCAGCGATCAGCTGCCTCCCACATGCCTCCCATTGGGGATGGAGCCTGAAATCTGGGCATGTGCCCTGATTAGGAATCAAACCATGATCTCCTGGTTCATAGGTGGATGCTTAACCATTGAGCCTCACAAGCCAGGCCTGATTTATTTCTGATGACTCTCAGGCCCCAGTCCATAGTGTGATACATAATCAGTGCTCAGAAGAGAGTGCCTGCTTTTGCTGTCCCCTCCCTCTCCCACCATCTTCTCTTCAGCCTTGTCCAACCACACTTAACTTCATCAAGGTCACAACTGCCTCCATCGATGCCAAGTCATTGGCCCATTGGTCCACTGGTCCACATCTTCATCTTGCCCACACCGGTTGTATCTTATTTCTCCCAGAAGCCCTGTGTGGCCTCTGGGACCCCACGCCCACCTGTTCTCCACCCCCTGCCCCTTTCTGTCCCTGTGATCTCACTCATGACACTAAACACCCTCATGTGCTGAGGACACCCACTTGTTCACCTCCACCCAGACAACATGACCCCTGGATTCCCAGCCTCTTCTTGGTGACCCACAGACATCTCACTGTAGAGCCATTCAGAAGTGACCACTGGATTCACTCTACCCTGCCGCCCTCAGTACATGGGCACCTCCCTTCACCAGCCACTCAGGCCAAGCTTCTGACTCAAACCTTCCCAGCACTCCCCCCATGGGATCCATCATCAACTCCTGCAGACTCCACTCCCAAACAGCTGGGAGCCACCCACTGCTCTCACCTCCAGGGACACCCTGGCTCAGCCCCCGACCACTGCTGCCTCTCACCACTTTCCTGGCCCCCCACTTTCCCCCATGGCAGCCAGGGGTAGATTTTCCAAAGCTTGAGCACTCTTCCACCTCCCTACGCTCCTTTCCTGCCTCTGAGCTCATCCCTTCCCCCACTCAGGCCACTGGCTCCACCCTCTCCACCGCCTCTTAGTCCAGCCTCGAGGCCTTTGCGCTGGATGTGCCCTCCGCCTGGGCTGCCCTTCCCCCCACCTCCTGCGGCAGTCACCTCCTCAATATGGACCTTCCAGATGTCCCCCACATCTGCAGGGGGCCCGGGCTGTTTCCTCTGAGCACCTGATCTCAAGGTAAGATGATACCGACCCGGCGCCTGCCTCCCTCACTGGCCTGGCTGGCTGGGTGGTTCACCAGTGTGTTGGCACGTAGTAGGTTCTCAATAAATGTTGAAGAAACAAAAGGCATTGGGTGGCTCTGTTTTGAGCTGCTCCAGGCTGGAGTGTAGACACGCAACCCCTCTCTCCCTGTGGTCAGGGCTGGGAGACCCACGGTGGGCTTCCAGGAAGAGGAGGCCCTCAAGCTGAGTCTGGCCGGAGCCTGGGGGCAGAGGACCCTCTTGGTGCCCCATTTCCTCAACCTACCTACCACGGAGCACCGTGGGTGACAGTGAGGAGCTGGGGGAGGGGCGGGCAGAGGACGCCTGCTGCGTGCCTGTGGGCGGGGGAAGGCGGCACGCTGGAAAGGGTGCGGTGGTGGGAGCCCTGGAGTAACCCTGACCTCGCCAGTCCGCGCCAAGAGCTGCCGTCCAGCTGAAAGGGTCGCGGTGCCCCCCTTGCCCGAATGGGCAAGTTGAGGTCGGAGAGGGTGAGGGCAGGGCCATGCAGAATGGGGACCTCTGGACCCGGGTCTGGCCCCAAAGCCGTCGCTCACAGTCCGGGGCCCAGGGAAAAGAGTAGATATTTTGATTCATGTGAAATTAGCCTTTGTGTCATCCCATTTCCCACAGTTGCCCAATTTTTCATGATTAAGCCCTCATTTCATCCAGCTATTTCCAACATACTGCCTCTCGGGGAGTTTCCTCCTTACAGTTCTGAGTGTTTGGGATCACACTAGACATGAGAACAAGCTTCTCATCAAGGTTATGTTTGTCAATATCTACCATTAAAGAACGGTTTTCTTTTTTCTATCATGAAAACAAACATGGGAAGAAACCAATATATCAGAAATCTAGGTTAACTTCACACTCTTATTTTTTTTTCAAAACTTCACTTTGTATTGGAAAGCAGCATTAAAAATCTTTCCTCCATATAGTCTATATACAAAAACTCTATAGGGACGAGACATATGATAAATTATACCACTTCTCTTGAAGGACATAGTACATGCATGTTGGCCTTTAGTTGCTGTCAGTAATTTTACTGCAGGAATATCTGGCAGGCACAACAATCAGCACCCCCCCGCCCGGGTCCGTGCCTCCTGGGTCTCGTGGAGGGGAGGAGTGGGGGGGACGGTGAGGCAGCAATCCGCCGGCTGAGAGAAAGCTCATCCCCACTTCTTCCTGGGAAAACTGAGGCCCAGAGGCGTGGCTTACCCTGAGGTCACACCCTCCGTCAGGAGTTCAGCCCAAACTGGGTGTAAGCGTCCTGCTCTTTGGGGCGGGGCTCTGGGGAGCGGGAGGGTGGTTCTTTTAGCCCCTTATTTTCCATCGCCTAGATCCCCACCTCAGTGCTGAGTCAGGAAAGGGTTCAGAAGACCAGCCCCCTCCCCTATCTTGGCTCTCCCCTCCCAACTTCCTGCTTCCTGGGCCAGCCCGGGCCCTGGGTTCAGAAAGGGGCTGAGATGCAACGGGCTGGTGGGAGAGGGGGCCCACTTGGTGGTCTCCCAGGCTCTTGGCACCTGGAGCCACTCAGCACCAGACCCTTCGTGCCCCAAATGCCATAGCCAGGAGGGCCTGAGATACAGGGAAACTGAGGCTCAAGAGGGGCCATAGATCCAATGAGGTCCGGCCTTCCCCCACGCAGTGCCCAGGAGCTCGGAGGCTGGAGGATTCCAGTTTGTCCTGCGTGTGCTTTGGGCACTGCTGACTGCTGGGCTCCCTGGCTCTGCTCCAAGGAAGGACTCACCAGGTGGCCACTTCCCTCTTCCTTCCTCTGCCAATGTCATGGTCACGCGGAGGGTGTGCATGGCAAGTGGCTTTATATTTCTCCTGACAGACGGGAAAACTGAGGCAAAGTTGCCAACCCCGTCCCCCCACCCAGCTTGTCTCCCTGTTTTCTGCATCATCCTCATCAGGGGCCCTTTTCCCTTTCCAGACCACCCTGGCCCTCCATCCCACACCCTCTGCTCCTGCGGCCATGAGGTGCTGGCTGGCCCCTTTCTGCCCCTCCCCAATATAGGGACACCTGCTGCCGAGGGTCTGGGATCGGATGGAGCCCTGAAGGGACCCAGCCCCTACGGGCTGCTCCCCCTGCAAGGTCTCAGAGTCCTGGACTGACCCCAGCTGGTCCCCAGTGCACAGATGGGGAAACTGACACCTGGGGAAGGGGGGTCGCTGGCCCCTGGCCGTGCAGGAAGGTAGAAGCAATGATGGTGGAGAGAGCAGCGAGGCGCCCTGACCCTGGAGACACTTGTGCACTTATCCTGGAATGATTTGTTCTGTCATTAGACACTGATTAAGCACCTACTGTGTGCATCATAAGACAGTAAACAACCAATAATAGTAATAATAATAATAATAATTTGAATTCTTCATCTATATTCCAGACTCTGTGCCTCCCATTTTTCTTACCTGATCCGAAGGACTCCTCAAAAATTTCCTGGGGGGGGGGCTGTATTATGAATACATTTTTCAGATATTAGAAGGGGAGGCTCAGAGAGGTTCAGTTACTGCCCCAAATCACATAGTCAGGGCAGAGCTGGGGTTCAACCCCTGGCCTGCTCACACCTCCACTGCAAAGACTCCCTCTGCTTCCCCAGACCCCACCCCCTCCGGAACCTCCTGCTCCTGCTATGGACCCTCCTGAACTGTGGTTTGGGAGGCAGTGCTCAGGTAAGGGGGGAACATGAGCCCAGGGAGCATTGGGCATGGAGACCCCATAGCCATGTGGGGGTTGCCAACCTCCCCTCCATGCTGACCATGTCTCTCTTTCTCCAAGTAGGGTCCAGGGGAGTGGACACCATGGGGTTCCTGGAGCCACTGTTCCAGCTCCTGTGGGCAGGGACTCTCTGTGCGAAGCCGGCGCTGTGTCCGGTGAGCAGTGAGCACGAAGCCGGGGCTCGGCTGAGCGGGTGCGGGGGGGTTGGGGGGGTTCCTGACCCTTCCCTCCTGCCAGCCAGGCCCAGCCCCTGAACACACCCTTGACCTGCCCACACATGCTGTGCCTTTTAATCCTACGAATGCACCTGGAATGTGGGTAGGGTTGGTGTGGGAGGGTGAGGGGTGAGCAGGCGGGCTCTGGGAAGGAGGTTACTGGGAAACCTGACCACACTCTGGCCACCCTGCTCCTCACAGGTTCCCCAGGGAAGAGCTGTGCTGGGGGGACACCCATGAGTACCGCCTCTGCCAGCTGCCAGTAAGTTCTGTCCACCTCCAAGACCCCCCGAGTCTGCCCTGAAGCCCTGCTGCTTCCCCACTCATGCCCCCAAATATGTTTGCCACCCTGCCAGATTTTCTGGACTCCCCTGAGTCTGTCCCAGCCTCTGACCCACCCACCTCTGTCCCCAGGACTGTCCCCCAGGAGCCATGCCCTTCCGAGACCTCCAGTGTGCCCTCTACAATGGCCACCCTGTCCTGGGCCCCCAGAAGACTTACCAATGGGTGCCCTTCTATGGTGGTGAGTAGCCTGCCCTCCTGTTGGTCCAGAGGAAACAACTCAGAGCTGGCAGGGAGAAGGGGCTGCTAAGAAGGAAGGGGGACTTGGAGGGTTGTAAGGAGAAGTAGGCATTAGCACTTGGGCTTTGAAGGATATGTAGGTGTTGGTGAAGGGAAGGGGAAAAGCATGTGTGAGATGTAAAGCAGAGGCAGCGGGAGCCGGGTCTATTCCGCACAGGGCTGGACACCAGACTGAGGATTTACTCAGGGCTGAATCCAGAGGCCAACAGTTCTCAAACTTACCTTGGTAGCAGGAAATGTTGCCAGTATTTAGCTGAAAATAGTGGGTTATATAACTGTGTGCTGGGGGCAGCATGCCTTCAGATTTAAGGGAGACAGGCAGCTTCAGATGCTATGGAGAGGACAGACACAGGTAAGAAAAGCCTAGAATAAAGGAAGTTCCATTTGTAAACCTCATCGTGTTTTTTCCCCTTTGCCGTAAGCATTAGCCCACCAGGGCCAGCTGGGGCGCTGTTCCAGGCTGGGTCAGCCAGCCAAGCTGAGGGAGATGGGGGGCATAGGAGTCAGAGCTATGGGCTGGAGTGAGTGGACTGCTCATTGCACCCTGCTGCCAAGCAGAGGGGGAAACTGAGTCCTGGGGCGGGGGACAGGGGCTAAAGACACATGCTATGCGGGACCCAGTCAGCACGGGACAAACACTTTTTATTGGGCACCTGCTGGGTGCAGCTCTGCTCAACGCTGAGCCTAGAATCACGTCTGGAAATGGTTATTTGAGGGTTTGTGGAATGAATGCATGCATGCAGGCCCAGGATATCTGCCTGGGAGAGTCAGAAAGCTGAGGCCAAATGCCGAAGCCCAGTCCTGGCCCTGCTTCAACCTGCATGTGCAGTTTTGGCTGAGTTTCTGGGCCTCATCTGCCCAGGGGGGTGGCTCTCTCTGGGAGGCTAGCGGGAAGGGGGCTGTAACTGGGCTAGAAGACCCCTGGTCCACTCTGTCCTTCCACCCCCAGCGCCCAACCAGTGCGACCTCAACTGCCTGGCCGTGGGACATGCCTTCTACCACAGCTTTGGCCGCGTCCTGGATGGTACTCCCTGCAGCTGGGGTAGCCGGGGACTCTGCGTGGCTGGCCGCTGCCTCGTAAGGACTGCCAGGACCCGCCCAGCCCAGCCCACCTCCCACCGCACCCCAGACCGAATTCATTTAGGTTTAGGTCCCCGCCACCTCCTGGCCCCTCCCCTCCCACTGGGCCACGCCCCTCCATAGACTTCACTCCTAGCTTCTCTCCAGAGTCCGCCCTTTCACTCTCAAGTCCCGCCAAGCCCCCTTCCTTTTGTTCCATGACCCCTCCCTCTTTCACAGGCTCCCCCCCTCCCCCCCCCACACACACACCTCCTTAGGCCTCCCAGACCCCTCCTTCTGGGCCCATCCTTTTATTCCCAGGCCCCACCCTCGTCTCTAGGCCCCGCCCCCTGGTTCTCAGAACCCGCCCCCCTCTTCCAGGCCAAGGCCCGGGCTGGGGCAGGGGGTCTCTCTGACATGTGTCCTCCCCATCCGCCTAGAACGCCGGCTGTGACGGTTTGATGGGCTCGGACGCCCGCGAGGACCACTGTGGTCGCTGCGGCGGCACCAACGACTCGTGCCTCTTCGTGCAGCGCGTGTTCCGTGACACCGGTGACCTCTCACCCCGTCCTCTCCACTCTCCCAGAGCCGACCCTTTACGAAGCCGCAGGCACGGAAGTGAATTCCCGTGCTGATTGGGCAGCCTGCGGCGCAGCCCCTCTCGTTCATCATTCTGATTGGTCACTGCCAGATTGCCCCGCCCTTCCCAGAACAGATGTGGTTCTAAATCTAACCCCTTCGCTGCCTCATTTAGGCAATACTAATCTTTTTTTAAATATATATTTTATTGATTTTTACAGAGAGGAAGGGAGAGGGATAGAGAGCTAGAAACATCGATCAGCTGCCTCCTGCGCACTCCCCACTGGGGATGTGCCCGCAACCAAGGCACACACCCCCGACCGGAATCGAACCTGGGCCCCTTGAGTCCGCAGGCCGAGGCTCTATCCGCTGAGCCAAACCGGCCAGGGCTAGGCGATACTAATCTTAACCCCAAACGTTTACGGACCGTTGTTGGGGTACTAGTACCAAGGCCAATCTCCTTAGCCTCAGTATCTCATTTAATCCTCCAAGCATCCCTCAAACAACCCGCCACCCGCACCGCAGCATCCTCCTTCCTTCCCGCCCAGGAGCCTTCGCAGGATACTGGAACGTGACTCTGATCCCCGAGGGCGCCAGGCACATCTACGCTGTCCATCGGAGCCGAAACCACCTGGGTACCGCAGAGGTTCCGAGGGGGAGGCGCCCTCCTGGCCGCCTCGATGAAGCCGCGAGACTGAGGCCGGAGGAGGGGGACGCGGTGTCGGGGAGGTGGAGGGGCGGGTTCCGGGGAGCCTGGGCTGACCCTTCCCTTGCAGCGCTGATGGGGGGCGACGGGCGCTACGTGCTCAATGGCAACGGGGAGGTGAGCCCGTCCGGGACGTATGAGGCGGCGGGCACCCGCGTGGTCTACACCCGCGCTGCGTGGCCGGAGGAGACGCTGCGCGCGGCCGGACCCACGTCCCAAGACCTGCTCCTGCAGGTGCGTGCGGGCCTCCAGGGGGCACCTGGGCACGTGGTGGTGGTAGGGATTAAAGGACCCCGGGAAGGCTGGGGACCGAGAGGGGGAGTCGGGGTAGAGAGTGAGAGTGGGGGAGCTAGGAACAGAGAGTCAGAGGGGTGAGATCGGATTAGAGAGAGTGTCAGAGGGGCCAGGGCGAGGTAGAGAGTCAGAGGAGGGAGGCTAGGGTAGAGAATCAGGAGAAAGGCCAGAGGATGGAGGCTGGGCCACCAGTTCTGATTTCGGCTCCCTAGTGTGTGACCTTCTCCCTAGGTCCTCCTGCAGGAGCCCAATCCCGGCATTGAGTTCGAGTTCTGGCTCCCTAGGGAGCGCTATGGCCCCTTCCAGGAGCAGGCCCAGGCCCTGGGCTGGTCCCTGAGGCAGCCGCAGCCTCTGGAGGTGGAGCCCCAGTCCCTTGAGCCCCAGGAAGCCCTGGCTGCTTTCCCCACACAGACCCCAAAGCCCACCCCAGGTGAGCAGGGAATAGCCACTATGGGGGCAAGCAGGGAGGCGGGGCGTGTGCCCTAACTGCACTATCTCACAGATCCCTGCCCACCCTGTCCCGACACCCGCGGTCGTGCCCACCGGCTGCTCCACCTTTGCGGCAGTGACTTTGGTGAGAGACCCTTTTCCCCAACCCTCACCTGGCCCCTAATTGACCTAAACTTGGCTACTTTCCTGCTATCCGACCCTGTTCTGACTTTACTCTTGAGTCCTTGATTTGACTCCAACTTGACCCCTTCTTGCCCTAATTTGACTTCTTGATTTGGCCCTTTGCTCGAATTTGACCTCTAAGTCCTCATTGATCCTGACCTGATCTTGACCACAGGACCCTCTCCACAGTCCCTAGGGGCCCCCCCATGTCCCACTTGACCCCAAGTTTCCTCATATGGCAACGGGGTGCATGAATGGGTGTCCAGGTTGGACCATCCAATTGGCCTCAGCACCACCCTGCCCACAGTGTTCCGGGCTCGAGTGCTGGGCCACCTCCGCCAGGCCCAGGAGACCCGCTATGAGGTGCGTGTGCAGCTTGTCTACAAGAACCGCTCACCACTGCAGTCCCTCGAGTATGTGTGGGCACCTGGCCGCTGCCCCTGCCCACCAATGGCCCTCCATCGAGAGTACCTGCTGGCTGCCCAGCGCCTTGTCAACCCCGATGGCACTCAGGACCGGCTACTGCTGCCCCATGCTGGCTATGCCCGGCCCTGGAGCCCCGCCGAGGACAGCCGAGTACGCCTGGCTGCCAGACACTGCCCTGTCTGAGCCCCCAGACCAGGAAGATGTGCCTGACCAGGCTCAAACTCAACCTATTTCCTCTCTTGCCTGGCTTCCAAGGAGCTCAGAACTATCTCCCACCACAGCTATGTACCTCTCCCTCATACACACTTACACACCTTTGCGTACCGTCAGTCAGATCCACTCTCGCAGTAGGCAGGCGCTGATGAGAAAACACTGAATTGCTTCTTTAACTCTGATTTCTTCTCTCACCCTCACCGCCAGGAAACTCATAGCTTTCTTTTACTCAAAAACTTTGTGTCTACTTTTATTCCCCTTGCCTTGCACTCACTTGCTTAGAGAGACACTCATACGCAAGCAGGGCCCATAGGAAGACATGCCTAAGGAGACATTGTAATGTATCCGTTTCCCCTCTTGCCTTGGCTACCAGGAAGCTCCTCACTATGTAACTCCCTGAAACTCTGTGCCCTCTCTTCTTGCTGCCATTTACCCGTTCACCACAATGTATTCAGAGACACTGTCACAGACAGACATACCCACTAGAACACATGCCTAACTGGGCTCTGTAACACACTCATTTCCCCTTTGTGCTGACTACCAGAAGGCTCCGAGATCATCTTTCTCTTTCAATTTTGTATTGATTTCAGGTGTACAGCTCAGTGGTTAGACAATCATATACTTACCTAGTGTCCCTTTGATATTTCCAGTGCCCAATTAGCATCCTACATAGTTATCATATTATTGACTATATTCCCTATGGTTTACTTTACAGCCCCATGACTATTCAAAGATAATTTTGACAACCTCAGCAATTCTAGAAGGGGTTCCTCCAGTCCACACTGCTGTTCACCCCTTTTATATTTCTACTTAGTTTTTACAAGCTATTTTTTAAAACAAGGGCACACTTGGCCACAGAAATGTGTGGATGCACTAGTAGTGGGATCCACAACTGTGCTCTCACAGCGTGTACACATGTGATCTCACAAACCCCATCCCCTCTACCTGGTCCATTCCCCACCTCCCTTCAGAATGTCTGACACTTTGTGGGAGGGGAGGACAGGGACTATATGAGGATGGGGGGTGAGTACGGGGTAAACATGGCTTTTATAGGTCCCACGCCTCTTCTCCAGGCCTGCTTCTTCCTGTGTTGTCATAGATTCTCTTCATTTATTCTTCTGGAGCAAGAGGGCAGACATCAGTCATGTGAGAAGGGAGGGTGTGTGGGGGGGCGTGGCTCAGCAAACCCTCCCCCACTCTGGATGGGGGCACCGTCTTCTGCCTCCCCATCCGGATGGGTGCCCCACACTGTCATTTTGGGACAATCTGCTCTTCTGTACCATCATGGCTGTGTTTTCCCCGCTAGCATGGATACTGGCAGTGGGCAAGGGGCACACAATATGCAGGTCTCAGAGCTGGATGGGCTCAGCCCCTAACTTTGCAGATGGCCTGAGGCCAGACCACTCCCCTCTCCTGGCCTTAGTTTCCCGGTCTGTGAGTACCCTTTTAGCGCTTCCTGGCTCTGATCGTGGGAATCACTCTTCTGGATTCCTTCCCTAGCCCCTCAGTTCACTCATGCATTCCTCCAACGGGTATTTATTGAGTGCCTACTGTATGCCAGGGGCCCAGCAGTGCTTAGACCATCCCAGGCCTGGCTCTGTCATCTGCAACGAGTGCTGAAGCTGGAGAAACCTCAGAGCCTCGTGGGCAAAGTGGGATGCAGTCCTGGAGGGAGGTGTGGGGCCTGGGCGCCCACTGGTGGCAGGATGGGGGAAAGGTAGTCAAGGCACTGGTTACCTGCAGCCCTGAAGGGCCCTATGCTTATGTACCTCCTCCTCCACACCCACTTCTCTCATCTGCACTTGCCTTCCTCAGTAATGCCTCTCCTCCCCCACCAGCCTTACACCAGCACCCACTTACGGCTCCATTCTTCCCACCACTGGCCTGAGGTGGTCCCCTCTGCCTCCATGCAGTATGGGGATATGTCTGGGAACAAGGGTCTCAGGCCTTTTCAGCCCCAGAGCTCCTAATCCCAAAGCATCTGGACTGGCTGACGAGAGGCGACTGCTCCTGGGAAGGGCCAGCACAGAGTCTCCTCCGGCAGGCAGGGTGGCCCGTGGCCACGAGCAGTGACTTCCCCAGCCCTTCACAGCTCCCCCTGTAATGGTCTTGTAACACTCCCAGTAAACATGCCATTGTTTTGATCTGCTCTTTCGTTCGTTTTAAAGCAGTCTAACCCTTTAAAGAGAGAAGAAAACCTTGCAATTCTAAAGTTGCTCAAATTCAACAGCGTGGTGGTTCAGGAAGGAACTACCATTTGTACTTGCCAAGCAACGTATTACGCTGTTTTGCATTGAAACACTAATGACTCCAGGTGGTTACACAGAATGACAGAAACAAAGTGAAGCATTCTGTTTTTTTTTCTCTTTCCAGTCAGTCCTCAGCCCTTTTTCATTAGTTACTGTGTCCCTGCAGGGATACTAGTCTAGCCCCTCTGGGTCAGAGGCACACACATTGCCCGGAGTGACTGCAAATGGGCAGGAACCTCCTCTAGAAGGAAGCACAGGTGGCCCATCCTTGCTTGTCCAGAACTGGGAATTCTCCACATTGACTTCCCACAGATGGTGATGTTTATTAAAAGATGAATTAAAACAGGCATGTTTGAAACTTGCATCCATATTAGTAAAAATGACAGTGATTGTAATTATTTCATTAGCCCCACAAAAGGTTGTTTTCAATATTTCTGAACGCCAGCTCTGGGGGATCTGTTATGTTTTTCCTTTCTAATTCTCTGCAGAGGGCACCACTCTGTCATCTGCCCTTCTCTCACTGACCCTGTACCAGATGGCTGACACACGGGAGGACACATGTCCACTTAAAGGGCCACAGAAAGCCCTGGACTGTCTGAGAGCTCACAGGTTTAGATGTGGGCATACAGGTGAGGTTGGCAGAACCACTTTGGAAAACAGTTTGGCCATGTCTGCTATAGATGAACAAAAATCTCAGTAGCAAGTTAGATATGTCCAAGCCCCAACCCCCAGAATCTGTGAATGGGATCTTATTTGGAAAAAGGATCTCGGCAGATATAATTAAGGATCTCAAGATAAGATCATTCCGGATTACCTGAGTGGGCACTAAATCCGATGACAAGTGTCCTCATAAGAGACATGGAAAGGAGAGACAGAGAAGAGGGCCATGTGACAATGGAGCCAGAGACTGGGGCAATGAGGCCACAAGCCCAGAAGCTGGAACAGGCCGGAAGGACCCTCCCTGGAATCGCAGGAGGGAGCATGGCCCCGTAACACTGACTTCTGGCCTCCATAATGTGAGAGACTGAATCTTTGTTGTTTCAAGGCCCCCCACCCCCAGTGTGTGGTAATTTGTTATGGTCGCCCCAGAAGACTCACAGGCTCACCCTATACTCTCCAATCTCTGAGAAAGGAGAGCTGCACTCACCAAAGGACAGTTCTAGAATGTTCCTAGCAGCTTTAGTCATAATAATCCAAATTGGGAAACTACTCAAATGCCCACCAACAGTGGAATGGGGCAAATAATTCTGGCCTACCCACAGGATGAAATGCTCTCCACCAATGAAAAAGAGCAAAGTACTGATAATGCCCACAGTGGTGTGAGTCTCACAGACACAGCTCTGAGTCAGATAGGAAAGGACAGAGATACCACTGGGGGTGGGAAGTGACTGGGAGGGGCTGGCCCTGTTGCCTTAGTAGCTCTGAGTCACTGGTTACACTTTTCTGTAGGTTTAAGAATAAAACAAACTATGTGCTCAGCCGGCGTGGCTCAGTGGTTGAGCATCGACCTATGAACCAGGAGGTCACAGGTTGGATTCCCGGTCAGGGCACATGCCTGGGTTACAGGCTCATCCCCAATAGGGGGCGAGCAGGAGGCAGCCAATCCATGGTTCTCTCTTATCATGGATATTTCTCTCTCTCTCCTCTCTCTCTCTCTTTCTCTCTCTCTTCTTCTTGAAATCAATAAAAACATATTTAAAAAAAACAATAAAAACATAAAATAAAACATGTCTGAGGGGCTAAAGGTCACTGTTTCCACCTGGGGAGACAGGTGTGTATCCTCCCTATCTGTACTGCCTGGTGAGCTGACCAGGGCAGGGGGACAGGGACAGCCTCTGAGCACCCGTTTCACCACCTAGGGCAGTGATGGCGAACCTTTTGAGCTCGGCGTGTCAGCATTTTGAAAAACCCTAACTTAACTCTGGTGCCGAGTCACATAGAAATTTTTTGATGTTTGCAACCATTGTAAAACAAAGACTTATATTTTTGATATTCATTTTATATATTTAACAAAGAAAAATCAACCAAAAAAATGAGTTCACGTGTCACCTCTGACACACGTGTCATAGGTTCGCCATCACTGGCCTAGGGACAGCAGGGTAGGGGGGATGCCAGGTGCAGAGTGAGCCCAGCACTGCCCCACCCCAGACCACAGCCACAGCACATTCTTCAAACAGCTGGGCCAGTGATAAGCAGATTCTGAGATCCCTGTCCCCAACACCCACGTAGGCCTCTTAGCAGACCTTTGATCAGTCCCTTCCTCCCTCTTGACAAATCTTACACCCCCAGGAAAAGCCAAAGTCCTTACCACGCCTTCCAGATATCTGCACGGTCCACCCCCTGGCTCACCTCCTCTCCCCCCTCATTCACTCAGCTCCAGCCACACAGGTCTCCGTTCTTCCTACACTCTGCCAGGCTCTGCCTTCGGAGAGCCCCTTCTCTCTGCTGGACCACCCCTGTCCGATTCTCACCAGATTCATGCCCTCACCTTCTTCATGTCTTTACTTGAATGTCATTTTCATAGACAGGCCTTTCTCTGACCCTGACATTGCAGCCCTGGCCCCCTCAACTTCGGCTGCATTTTCCCCATGTCATTCACCTCACTCTGACATGTTTTTTTTTTCATTAAAATTTTTTTATTTTATTGATTTAAGGGTGAGGGAGAGAGAGAGATACATCATCATTGTGAGAGAGAAACATGGATCAGTTGTCTCCCATATGCACCCTGAACTGGGGATTGAACCCGAAATCTGGGTATGTGCCCTGATCAGGAGTTGAACCCACGACCCTTAGATGCACAAGATGATGCTCCAACCAACTGAGCCCCAGGGCTCCCTCTGACATGTTATACATGTATCATGCCAATTGTTGCCTTCCCAAACTACCTGGAGTAGGAAATTTTTAACTCTCTGGGTCAATACTGTAACCCTGGCTCCTAGAGGAGGGGTTGGAATACAACAAGCGCTCAATATCCGCGTAACACTCAGCACGTCCTCCTCCTTTGTTAGAATTCTCAAGGATGAGGACACGGGCAGTGGTGTTGGTGGCTGCAGAGGGCTGCCTCCTTTTTGGGGGAAAGCTGTCTTCGAGTCACCACCAGCTGGGAACTGCAAGGCTGGCTAAGGAGCGAGGGGCATGGCATGTCACAGGATTGCAAGACTTGGCTGATGTGTTTGGGCAAAAACTGGGTGTCTCGGTCAGGGACGGTAGCGTCTTCGCCTCCCAATGCTGCGCACACCCACCCCAGAGCAGAGCAGACACTGGCTGCTTCGGCAGGGGGTTGCAGGGTGGGGCGGGAGGTGGTGGGATCTGTGGGAGATGGTTGGCCAGGGGCCGAGATTCGTGAGGACCTGCGGCCGTGCGTAAGGCTGGACTGAAGTTGAGCAGAGTAGGCCAAGCGGCCAAGTGTAGGCCTGAGAGTCGCTTTCATCCCTGGTCAGAGGGTGGTGGGGCCTGTTGGGCGGGTCCGAGGGGAACTCGACCATGGCTGCCTTTTCTGTTAAGCCTTCCTAGAGCTATTAATTAGATTAGCAAATGTTTATTGACCTGCTACTATGTTCCAGGCGGAACACAGCACGGGGCAGACAGAAACTCAGCCGCTGTGGCGCTCACAGTCTAACGGGGCAGGCAGGCGAGAGGCAAGAGAAATAGGTAAAACACGTCATGTTGAGATGGAGACATGGCGGGTCATGTAGATTTTATACAGAGGGATCAGGGAAGACCTCCCTGCGAAGAAGGCATTTGAGTCAAAACGTGAAAACAGTGAGGGAGAGTGTGAAGGCGCAGACCCCCTAGGCACCTCTGTTCTGGAAGGATCTCTGGGGCCCTCCTTTAGTCCCTCAGCTGAGCCAGGTGCCCCAAGGTCAGGCTCCACAGCCTGATTGTCCCTGCCTTTGCCTTTCAGGCCTGCCCTTCCTCATTTTTCAGGTGTCAGCTCACTCACCACCTCAGGCATCTCTCCTTTCTTGTCACTGCTTCCTTTTCTCTCCATATTTCTTGGGTACCCTCTTTCCATTTTCTGTCTCCTTGCCTGTCCTCAATTTAAATGGCAAAGATTTCCTTTTACTCACTAGTGCAGTGATGGCGAACCTATGACACGCGTGTCAGAAGTGACAAGCGAACTCATTTTTTGGTTGATTTTTCTTTGTTAAATGGCATTTAAGTATATAAAATAAATATCAAAAATATAAATCTTTGTTTTACTATGGCTGCAAAGATCAAAAAATTTCTATATGTGACACGGCACCAGAGTTAAGTTAGGGTTTTTCAAAATGCTGACACGCCGAGCTCAAAAGGTTCGCCATCACTGCACTCGTGAATATCCGGCATTTAGTGTGGTGCCCTCCTCTGCCACATACTAAATACTACTTTTTTTTCTTAATTGAAAGAATAGAGACTAACTGCCAAAAAAAAGAAAAGAAACTGGTGTCTCCAGACATTGCCCAGCGCCTTTGAGAAAAAAACTGCCCCCAGTTGAGAACCACTGAGTTATAGCCTCAGAAGCACCTGCAGTGTCAGGGTTTGCGGTTCATCCTAACCTTTCTCTTGTGTTTGCATCAGAAGCTGTGGCCCCCTAAGACCACGGGAAGCAGAGCTTGGGTGGCAGGAGCTGAGTGGTGAGATGGGGCGCCTGATGGATTCTGGGGGGCCCAGGTCCTCCCCAGCTGTGAAAGCAGATGCCTTTGTGTTACAGCCCCTTCCTCAGGGGACAAAACCTGGCCCCCAGGCTCCAGGTGGAGCTCGTTGCAGGTGCAGTTCAGGCTTCAGGTAACCCCTGCTCCCACTGAGACCGCCTCCTGGTCCAGCTCCACTCCTACCCCCACCCGGTCCCCCAGCTTCCAGTTCAGGATCTGCCTCCAGGGATCTATAGCTGCACAGGGGGCATTCTGTATTTTATATACTGTTGGATTGGATTTGCTATTCTTTCTTTGGGCTTTTTGCATCTGCATCCATTCCTGATTTCATGAACAGGGTCATGCCAGCCTCACAAAGGAAACCCAAGTGAAGGCTGAAGGAGGCCCCATTAGTGTTCACCCAACTCCCCTCTCTCCATTTCCATGAATGCCAGTCTGTCAACTGCCAGCCCCAAGGCCTCTCTGCTGCCTGCAGGGGGATGCTGGCTGAAACGAATGGCCACTGCTTCCCCAGTGCATAGTCCCTGGATCCCTCAGCACCTGAACAGAGGGTCTCAGGTGTGCACTGGACACAGGTTCCAGGCTTGGCCACACCTACTTCTTTGGCTCCTTCCCCTACCCACTCCCTACTGAAGCTTCCTGAGGTCCCCTTCCAGAAAAGGGACTTGTATTCCAATTCTCATCTCTGATTCATCTCAGCCACTTGGCAAGACCATAATTCTGGGCCTCAGTTTCTTATCTTTAAAGTGGGGCTACACAGCAACCTCTTCTGATTAGATGGGATGATCCCTGCAAAGAACACCTATTCCCCACCGACACACACACACGCACCCAGGACAGCAAAAAAAGGCTCTGCAAGATGTATTTTATTGAGCCCTGTCCTAGCAGGATAGGTGTTTCAGGCGCCAGCAGTGCTGTAGGTATTGGAGCCAGGAGTGGTGGTGGGGCCAGTGGCAGGTGATTTCAGTGGTGGACTCTGAGGTGTACTCCAGAGGGAACCCAGAAAGGTAGGAGACAGGCAGCTCGGGCTCTGAGGTACTGGTTTGGGGCTGCTGCTCGTGCACTGAGGTACTGGTTGGGGGCTGCGCTGGGGACGTCTTCTGATGTTTGCTGGACTTAGAGGCCTTGAGGGCTGACTCCGTTGGTCTATTAGAGCTGTCGTGGGGCTGCGTGGGGATGGTGGTACCACTGGGAGATGGCTGCGCTGGGGACGTCTTCTGATGTTTGCTAGACTTAGAGGCCTTGGGGGCTGACTCCGCTGGTCTATTAGGGCTGTCGTGGGGCTGCGTGGGGATGGTGGTACTACTGGGAGATGGCTGCGCTGTGGGCGTCTTCTGATGTTTGTTGGACTTGGAGCCCTTGAGGGCCGACTCCCCTGGTCTATTGGGACTGCTGTGGGGCTGCATGGGGACGCCGGTACCACTGGGAGATATCAGGGTTGGGGACGTCTTCTGATGTTTGTTGGACTTAGAGGCCTTGGGGGCTGACTCCGTTGGTTTATTAGGGCTGCTGTGGGGCTGCATGGGGACGCCGGTACCACTGGGAGATATCAGTGTTGGGGACGTCTTCTGATGTTTGTTGGACTTAGAGCCCTTGAGGGCCGACTCCCCTGGTCTATTGGGACTGCTGTGGGGCTGCATGGGGATGGTGGTACCACTGGGGGATGGCACAGTAGGGGGGGGCTGGCTGGAGAAGGTGCTGGGATGATGCACAGAGCCTGAACCAGGGCCGGGGGACTGCTGGGCTGGCTGGGAGGGGCCCAAGGAAGTGACAGATGCCTGGGGCTGGTTGGAAGAATTGGCTCTCGCACTAGATGCTTTTGAGGATGACTGGACCTGGGATTTGCCAGGCAGCTTGGCGACACTGGCAGACCCTGTGACCACGGATTGAGAATGGGACGGGCCAAAGGTGGTACATGAGGCGTTCCCAGAGGCTGGCTTGATTGGGGCTGAGGGAACAGAGTGGGTCTGTCCTGAGGAATCAGTTGAGGAATCCGTGGAGGACATGGTGTCTTTTAGCTGGCCGGCCAGCTTATCTGCACGGGGACTGGGTAGGGACTTCACTTGTCCTTCTGGAGCTGAGTCACGGTTACTTTGGCTGCAGAGAGAGGGCCATGGGGGTAAGGTAGGTCTGGCCAAGCTCTCAGGTCCTGGGGCTATGCTCAGCTGCTAGAGAGTGGGATGGAGGCTGCTGGGGACCAGGGTAGGGTCAATGGCCATCCTTGGCAAGGATAGTCATCTGCACATATTCACACATATGTAGGTACACTTGTACACAATCACACACATAAATGAACTCACACAATGCACAAACCAACCCACGGTCATACACACACACACACGCATGCTTGCACTCACACGTGCACATATGCATGCATACACATATAAAACTTACTTCCTAGGGGTGGGGGTTACCTATGGTTGGCTCCAGTAGCAGCGGGGGGCCCACCACCATAGCCGTTGGGGTGACGAGAGCCCGGCTTCGGGCCAGGGTCTGAAGGACTGGTTTCCGAAAGCAGAGGAGAGAAAGGCGGACAGTGAGAGGAGAAGCCAGAGCGCCTGATGCCAGTGGCCAAGATGCCAGATGGAGACCAGTCAGAGTCAGGAGGAGAGGAGCCAGGAGTGAAGGTAAGCAGGGGTGGATAGGCTGGGAGACAGACAGACCCAAACTGGGACAAACTAACTCCCCCATGCCCTACAAGCACATACCGTCCCGGGTTACTCCTGCTGCCACGTCCAGTGCTCGCCCGCTGAGGTCTCTCATGATGTTGTCCACGGCCTCGTGATGCTTTAGAAACAGCGGGCGTATGATTTGACGGTACAGCATGTGAGCCCCATTCCATGGCCCGGGAATCATGCAGAACAACAGGAAGGCGCACTGCGGGCATGGATGGCAGTTACACTCGGACCGGATCTGTGCCCCGGGAGGAGGGGGCTGGACCTCTTCCGTCAGACACTGGGCTATGTGGACCTGGGCCCACACATACACTCCTTAGGATTTGTCTGGCCACCCCCATCAGACACCCTCTCGGATGGACTTGGGCTGCCCCCATCAGATACTCCCCTGGCTGGGACTGTTTCCACAGGAAGGGACTGAGTCTCCCCCGACACCTGAGGAGGCAGCAGGGCGGGCCCCTCAAACCCCCAGTCTCTGGTTGCCTGCCTGCTCCCAGGAGATCCTATCCTGTGTGTGTTCCAGTGGTGCGTACCTTTCCCACGTAGTAGAAAGGGAACCAGGACAGGAGTAGATCGCTGAAGAACTCGGCAAGCCCGAATAGGCTGTACACCACCCAGTAGGTGAGCCACACAGTGTCGTCTTCTTTGCTTGGACTCTCGATAGCTTTTATCCTGGGGGCGGGGGGAGGTATGACAGGATCAGGGGCTGCCTGGAGTCCCTCATGCTCCCCACCTGGACAGCCCATGGACACTCACGAAGCATATGCGGGGTACACAAACCCGATGAGATTGCAAAGTAGAGGTGCCCCGTAACCGAACAGAAGATACAGGCTTAGCAGAGTGGTGGCTCCTGCAGAAAAGAGGGCATGGGTGAGGGTCTGGCTCACTCCACACCCAGTCCGCAGGCTCCCAGCCTCCTCTTGGCCAGGCGGATGCACCCCGCAGAGTTGTCATTCCTCCCACAAGCCTTAGTGACCTCTCCAGGGTGTGCTCATCTCCACACAGCACCTGGATGGCCCCCACCATGGCTCTGAACACTGAGTCTTGTGTCTGTAATTAGTTAACATATCCATCTCCCCTATTGTACTGTGAGCTCTCCAAAGGCAGGCAGGGTCCTCGGCCCTGGTGGATACAGAGTAGCTGCCCAATAAACACTTGCTGAATAAGGAATCATCTGCAATTATAACCACCTCACCTTGGGCCCTGTAAGAGGGGTTGGATACATGAGCCCTAAGTAATAGGAGAAAAAAACTAAAACTGAGGCCATTCTATCATTAAGACATGACTACTGAAGAATAAACTTAAGACATGACTACTGGTGAGCAGACAAAGGCAGAGGCAATTTAAAATTTCATCTTAGGCCTGGTCAGTGTGGCTTAGTGGTTGAGCATCAACCCATGCACCAAGAGGTTGCCAGTTCGAGGCCTGGGTTGCAGGCTCAATCCCTGGTGGGGGGCATGCAGGAGGTAGCCGATCAATGATTCTATATCTCCCTCTCATGCTCTCTTTAAAATCAATAAAAATATATTTTCAAAATGTCATCTTAGTGTGGGGTTTCTCAGTCTGGGCTGACATCTGGGCCAGGTCATCCTCTTTGGGGGGCTGGGTCCACCCACTCAATGCCAGGAGCATGCCGCCATGACACCACAGATGTCCCCAGACATTGCCTAGTGTCCTAACAGGGGCAGTATGACCCATTTGAGACCTCCTGGTCTTAGGCAGCAAAGGGCAGTACAGAGCCTCTCAGATCTTGGAGAGCCCTCTGTCCTTCTACTCACTTACCATGTGACACTGAGAGTCTCTCTCTGCTTAAAGACTCAGTTTCACAATCTGTCAATGGGGTTACAGTGACCCTGGCTCCTAGGGTTGTGGATTAGCTA